CTCATTAATAACTGGATTCAAGTCAGTTTTTGTCTGCCACATAAAGTACACAATGTGGAACAAATGCGTATTGATGTAAGTAAAAAAAAATATTATTGGTACTGGTAACTAAAATTCCATCTTCTGTCTAGAGAACACGATATTGCACCCACTATGGTGCAGCACCCTGTATGTGTATAGCTACCTGGGATGTACTATAGAAAATAATTTTTTTTACCAGATTTAAAGTTACATACCGGTAGATATTCTCTAAGTTTTGAATTCTCTGGGTGTGTGAAGGAAACAATACTAATGCCTTCATTGTGCTGCATGTTTTCAAAGAATCAAACATTGTATACTGTGGGATATATTTTCGCTTTAAGTATTCTGCAGTATGTGAATATCAACCATGGCAAAATATGATGTTTTAAGCAACTTCAGTTCTTGTCTGGAATAGACATGATATCTGCATTACAATTACTACGTAACAGTGAGATCAGGTACAAATGGCTTTAGTTAGACATCTGGATCACGTTTATCTTTGTTTGCTGTTTTACATACTATCCTGTTATTTAATTATAGCTTTCTTAGCGAATAAACCAGTTGTTAGTTGACCACAACATCGACTTGTACATACTGTCCAATCTCGCCCACATTTCTCCATCAACATCTTATATAGCACCCCCTTGTGGGGAGGATGTTTCTTACTTTGTTTTTATTCTGTACATAGCCTGATGTTATAGAGAAGAGTCTAGCTGCTATTAGACCCTACCATGCAATGCTGTTACTGGAAGAAGAAAACGAATTGTTAGAATTTTTACCGTTAGACTGTTCACCCTCACTTATTAGACTAATAAAGCTGACTACACCACTAAAGAGTTTACAACTGCTCTCTCAGGACTGTGACCTGGCCTTATCACAGGTACTGGTGTTTAATAATTTAAATATAATTTTTAACAAATTCAATTTTTAAACTAAGACATTATGATGTTTACCATAAAAATACATTGTTTGATTAAATTTGTCAATGTATGTTATGCTAGAGAGATTCATTTCCTTTTTTATTAGTCCTCGTCTCAGGTGCAGCCTGAAAGGCTGATTATTGATTCTTATTTCATTTTTCAGTCTGTGACTTCTCTAACATTTTTCTCAAAAAATCTGCAGCAGATATCAATGAAACTTGACAGGTTGATGAACAAGTCTCTGTTGAATATGCACATAACTTTTTTTTTCCAGATCTGAAAATCTTTGAGTCTTTTTCATCCAAAACTACCTCTCCCTACTGCACTGAGAGAACAACTGAGCATGCTCAGAATAAATAATTAGCTTAGATTGTAATACAGATGGGTCGTATCATTACCAATCTTAGTAGAAAAATGTAGAGGGGTGTCAGGGCTACATTTTGATCTGAATTATAGTGGTGTTACTGAAACAAACCCAGGTCCTGGTAATATACAAAGACCTGAATTAACAAAAAAAGTCAAGTTGTTATTAAAAGTACATCAAGGTTTACTCACATTTATAAATGCAGTTTCTTGAACTACATGTATGAGACATAGTTTGGTTGCACTTTTAGACCCGGGTCAATGAAAGTTTTCAGTTATCAGATTAAGGGAAATCACTTTATGATGAGTTGTACCCACATAGACTACATATTAATTCAATTGTTTGCAGATGTTCCATGTATTATTTTAACATGAGTATTTTATAATTAAATAACGGGGACTGTGACATTCATGTCTTGTTTTATTTTATTTTGTTTAATAATAATATGCATTTAATATTTTATTTATTCAATTTATTAATTATTTGATTTTTTAAGTTTTTGTAACTGCAAAAGCCCATGTGATGATAGGTAAAATAATAATACAGTAAGTTGTACGTAATTAACATCAACAAAAAATCACAAAATAATAATAAATATAGTGCCAATAAAATACATCAGATTTTTATCAGATTACTGTGATTGATGCACACAATTACAGCCAGTCCTGAGTGGTCCTTGCATGTAATGCACTAGAAACTGTAAATAAACTACCGTTCATCAGTGATCTATTAGCTTTTCTAAGTTTTTCCTTTACTTCAAATTTTACTAGACTCTACCCTCTCTAGCGGTATCTATACCAAAATTTCCCTTTAGTGCGATTACTTTTACGTTTTTTTTTCTTGTGTGAAGTTGAGAAGCATTTTTCTAGAAATCTGATAAATTGATATTTCTTCTTGTCTATGACATTGAATGAATGAAACAAGTGAACTTTTTAATTTCGCCGTTGGGGGCGCACTTTTACTATGCCCATCACAGGTTACTGAAGCATTGTTTCATGATTTGATTTAAATTGAATGGCTGGTAGCCATTTTGTTTTAATTCTTGTGTGTTTATACCTTTTTCTGGATTCTCTTTTTAACTTTGCAGTTGGAATAAAATATAAATGTGCACTTCACTGTGCCATTTTGGTTATAAATACATGGTATAAATTGCTAGCATAGCCAAGATTAGAGATATTTATTCGCCATGATTTGTTTTTTCTCCATTACAGGTTTTCCAGCTAGTTGGTCATTTAGTATACTGGGGTAAAGCTACTATTATCTTTCCACTGTGTGAGGCTAATGTCTATGTACTTTCACCAAACTGTGACTTACGAATGTAAGTGGCTTTCTTTTTGGACACAGTTCCAAAACAAGGAATACCGATATTTTGTTGTTTCCGTCTCATATGTTTAGAGCTTACATCTATTTTAGATTATCCATGTCTGTGGTTGCTTTGTGCGTTTTAAGCACTATTTGATATATTTGCCAACTTGATTAGACTTGAACATTGAACAAAGTAAATCAGCAATTAAACTTTGGATTATATTGCCCTCTATATAAAAAATAATGTTATGCTTGTATTTTGCTCATTTTAAATGCAGAATTTTAAGGCAGAATGCACATAAAAGTGTAGTGTTACCTTATATGTTCTATCAGTAGAGCATACGCTTATGTACAGAGGTATTTTTATGGTCAAAATAAGTCATATTTTAATGTTTCAGTACACAATAAATACTATTTTTTGTTTATATTATTATGGAGTTGCGCTTCTAATAGAGCAAATACGGTAGTACAACTAGTACCCCAATGACTTGATAACAAATATGTTATCATACTAGAAGGAACAAGATGGAAATTAGCTTCACTTTTTCATATAGCTGTAATCAAAATAGTAAACTTTGTGTATTATATGAATTGTGTTTGGCATATAACTTCTAACTCCAAACCCAAGGCTCAAATAAATATTTCACAGGTGCTTGTGTTAGAGCAGGTCTAGGTGACACTGATATAGCTTATGGTGGTGGTTGTCGTTCACCCTGCAATTAAATTATCATAGAAACACTTGTCACACAGTCCCAAATATTAAATAGGTTCCTGAGACAAAATAACAGGATGTGCATTTTTCACTCACAAATGAAAAAGTCAGGAGAGTCAATGATGTTAATCAATGTCCTGAGTGGTTGTCAGCACTGAATGTTATAAAAGCAATGCACAGACAGTACTGTAATTTTACATTATTTTATGATTTATTTTGTGCACTATCAATGCATGACGTACATTTTCAATGTATATATACACATCTCAGGTCAATCAAGGGTTATATAAGTTTTAAATTTTCTGTCAATAGGACATCACCGCTGGTAGAGGAATTCACAGACAAGTTTCCAGGTCAATCATTAACAGCAGTCTTGTCTAATTTTTCATTACCATTACCATTTGGAGAACATCGGAATCCGCTCTTTGAACAACAGCAGGTATTATTATCGTTTTATTTTTGCGTCTATCAGTTCTCTTCATTTGATAATTTTGAGGGTACTTGTAATTACAAAATCTAGAACTACTGAAAACGAGTGAGTTTATGAAAGAACTGGTCAGTGATTGTCTTTTGCTAGTACATTTATTCACAAAACGTTTACCTGCTACCAGTACATATTTGTTTTGTGTTTTCTAATTTGATGATAATCTCAATCAATTCTGTTTACACAATCACAACCTTTACCAGCATCCACTACAATCTATGATGTCATTGGTTAAAATACTGTGGAATACTTTATTTTCGCTGGAATTAATTTTCGCTGAAAAGGCTTTTTGGGTGTTTTGTATGGAATTTATTGTCACTGATTTTTTTGTGAAATATAGGAAAAAAAGTAAATTCGCTTGATTTTATGTTCACGAAATCATCCCTTCAGCAAAAATAGCAAACATAAATTCCAAGTGAAAATAAAGTATTCTACAGTATGTTTAGAACATCAATATGCATTTTGTCATGTGAATAATTACTCATGAAGACATTCAATTTAAACAAAAACTAAAACAGCAAGTAAACAAAAACTAAAATAGCAAGTGTCATTATAACTGTTATGATTTCTCAAGGGATTTGTTCAAGTAATAAACTGTGATTCACAAGAAATCACTGAAAAGTCACAGGGAAGTAATTCAGTTGGGGCTCCAATTGTGGTTATTGTCTGCGTATATCGTCCATCTTTGATCTGAATCATGAGCTGAATGGCATTCTGTTTTTATGTCAGTTTTATCTTTAGTAAGATCTTGTAATTGTAATCGCAATTCATGAAAATCACTGCCATTGAAGTTTTTAAATTAATTATATCTTGTAAAATTTGCAAATAATTTTATCTCATGAGATTGAGCGCCAAAGTCAATCTTTGTTATCTTTCATATAATAAACCTGCGTAAGTGTTTTCATATTTTTTTCAAAGATTTTGATTAACGCCTGTAGTAGATGAGAAATTATGTTCATTTGGTTCAAAATTTCAGAAGAAATTTTAGAAAATTTCAACAAAAATAAGAAAAATGTTGGTTTAAATTGTGGAAGGGCGACCATTTCTTGGTCATCATAATTTGCAGTCAAAATAATCTTATTGTTGCACATAATGCATTGTTCTACTAAAGGTTTTTTTGTTGTTTTTTTTCAGCTGGATCAAGTAAGGATAGTGATGTGGTTATTACAGAATAGATTACTAATACAGGTACTTTTCATCCTTGTAATGGCTTCTGTTCCATGCAGGAATGTATTGTTACTCTCAGTGGCTGACACATTTCTTTTTGGAACTTGTTAAATAGGAGATGACATTATGTGAGAGCATGTAGGACTGAATTGCATATATGAATTGTAAAATATTTTCTGATTTACCCAGATGTTGTGAAAATAATACTGTGACCAACAGTCATTCAGACCAATAAATCACAGCACTATTCAGAAGTTTTGGTAAATGAAATAGTCAATTAAATAGGATCCCAAACAATCACAAACATTTGGACATTCTTTAATTCATCGAAAATTTACTGTTTGGTACATGTTGCCTATGATTCATGCAAATTCAGACGCTAAGCTTAGGGGATGATGTCGGAGTGCAACTTTACTTTGGGATCTGAGTATACTTTTTTAATTCACTGTCGATTGCTGTCAACCACTTTAATTTTGCAAGAGACACATTTTTCATCACGATGAAAATTTGTTTCTGAACCCTACAATATGGAATGTGTGACTTTTGCAAAATTTTGCCATAAAATACTGAAATCACAAAAAAATGTCTAGCAGTGAAAATTAAATTGC